GTTATTTTCCTTTTATTATTTTTTTAGTTAAACTTTCTTCCCATTTGGTTGTTCAAATAAATTTGGATTAATTATTTTGGTACTTAGTTAGATACTATCCTCGTGGGTTCGACACTCTTCTCATCATTATATTACTTGGAGCGACTAGTACACTTGCTAGGGTGATTTTAGTGCATCAAAAAGCAAAAAGGGAAAAGGGAAATTATCATTGGGCTAGAAGCATGTGGTGTGGGTTTAGTTTATTAACGTGTGGAATAAGTTAAGGTTTTTTGGAATATTGAACTATATATTAACGTGTGGAAAGTGTAGAAAAGAAGTTTTGTGACCTGGAATAAGTTAAGTTTTTTTGGAGTATTGAACTATATATTAATGTGTAAAAAGCGTATAGAAGAAAGTTTTATGTGAAACCATAATTAATGTATAAAAAGTGTAGAGAAGAAAGTGAAACATTAATTATTCTAATACTTGATGAAAGGGAATAAAAACAAAGAAGGAAAGGGAAGTCATCGTTGGGCTAGAAGCATGTGGTGTGGGTTTAGTATCTCAAATTAATTGGATTTTTATTCATAGAAAAAAGATTGAATTTTGAACAGAAACAATGCATAAAAATCATGTGAACGTGGAGAGCAATTGCATTTGCTGGTCATTATAATGTATACATATTGATGGAAAGGGTTAGGTTGTAGTCATTTCACTTTGAGTGAAAATAAATATTATAAAGAAGAGAAGTCAATGTTGCAATGGAGTTAATTGGGTTTCAACTCTTTTAATAAGTTTTCTTTAAGAGATTCATTATTATTTAAGATTGTATATTTACTAAATATTTTAGAAGTTTCATTACGTATTTATTTAGAATTTTATAGAGATTTATTGAGAATTTTATTAAAAATTTTAAAAGATTTATTAGATATTTATTGGAGATTTATTAAGGTTCTTAATGATTTTTATAATATAGTATATAAAATATAATATTAAAAATGTATATGGAAATATTATTATGAAAAATATAATTAAAATAGTTCAAGTGAAATTGAAGTAACATTGTAGTATTAAAAAAGATTATTATTAAAATATAAAAATAAATATTTTTTTATCTGAATTAATGATTGGTGAATTAATGATTGATGATAATGATCCATGGTAATGGAAAAGAAAGACTGAGCTCTATACAATTGTTATTGTTATATTAATTAATTATGTTTAACAAAAACAATAATATAATGGATTCAAAAAGCCCATTTTTACGTTTAAAATATTTGATTTTTTATGCTCTGTGCACGGCTCAACTTCAAAGATTAGTATACTATTTGAATTGAAATGTGAGATGATTTATGTTTAAATCATATATGTAAATCATATATGTTAACTTTGTAATTAATCTTGTAGGCCTAATCGATTACACAAAATTTAGTACTATTAAATATATGTTAGCAATTAAATAGTATTTCTTTTATCAAATGATTATAAGTGCTAAATTAATATAAAAATTGGCATGCATAATATATATAAATAAAATTTTTAATCTAATGGTTAATTTTTGATAAAATTAATTCAAAAATAAGTTTTTAGGTAAATACCTTAAAAAAAACTTTTAGGAAAATGACCTACGTTACACTAACTTCTTTTATTTTCTTTTATCCTTGTTTAAAAGTTATTAGTGGGCATGGTAGAACAATAGAGAAGACAAGCTTCACAAGTTATGATTTGGACAATGAAAAGGGTTGAACGAAAAATAATCCATTAAAAAAATAAAGTCAAGAGTTTCTATCCTATTTGATTTAGCTATTTCAAGAAAATTCACAATTAATAGTCGATATGTGACAACTAATAGTTGTTTATAATCTAGTCCTTTGTGGAAATCGTAATTAACAAGAACCAGCATGAGAAATCTCTAATGAATGTGATGGAAAGAGAATCTTATGGTTTATAAACATTTTATTGGTTAGAATACTATTGATATAATATTCCATTATTGTCATGAAGAATTCTTCAACTGGAAGACATGGAAAAAATTAAGATTTTTTTGGAATATTGGACTATATATTAACGAGTGGAAAGTGTAGAGAAGAAAGTGAAAAATTAATTGCTCTAATACTTGATGAAAAGGAATGAAAGCAAAAGGGGAAAGGCGAAGTCATCGTTGGGCTAAAAGCATGTGGTGTGGGTTTAATATATCAATGTGTGGAATGAGTTGAGGTTTTCTAGAATAGTGGACTATATATTAATGTGTGGAAAGTGTAGAGAAAAAAGTTTTGTAACATGGAATAAGTTAAGATTTATTGGAATATTAGATTATATATTAACGTGTGAAAAGTGTATAGAAGAAAGTTTTGTATAAAATCATAATTAACATGTAAAAAAAAAAAGTGAAACATTAATTGCTCTAATATTTTAAGAAAAGGAATGAACACAAAAAGGGAAAGGGAAGTCATTGTTGGGCTAGACGCATGTGGTGTGGGTTTAGTATATCAAATTAATTGAATTTTGAACAGAAACAAAGCATAAAATCATGTGAATGTTGAGAGCAATTGCATTTCTTGGTCATTATGATGTGCACATATTGATAAAAGGTTAGCTCATAGTCATTTCACTCAATGAAAATAAATATTATAAAAAAGAGAAGTGAATGTTGCAGTAGAGACATCAAGCATTAGTACTCCACGGAAAGTGATGCACTAAAATCACCCTAACAAGTGTGCTAGTCACTCCAAGTAATATAATGATTAATAGAGTGTCGAACCCATAAGGATTGTGTCTAATTAAGTACCAAAATAATTAATCTAAATTTATTTGAACAATCAAATAGGAAGAAACTTTAATTGAAAATAATAAAAAGAAAATAACAAATAAATCTAATCAAGATAGGAGGTACTAAGGCATTGATTTCACCATAATCAATTAATATAAATTCTGGATTAATATACTTTTAAAACCAATTTTATTGAGTGTTATTGCATGTGATGGCGGATTTTCCTAAATTAATTAACTAGCTTTCTCAAGTCAAGTTAATCCTTCACTTGTTTGTTAAATTAATCATATCTCTATGTAATTTTAAACAAACTTATGAGTATTAAATTCTATGAAAACCTCTAGCTTAAGAAGGGGGAGCTCCTAACTCTCTTCTCTTCCTCCCCTACCACATGTGAGCTAATTACCTCTCGGTCTCATAGTCTAGCACACGGTTTATATTATTATTGGTCTAATCTACGCAATTCTTTCTCAAGTTCATGCATAAATCACTAAATCAATCGAAAGTTGATCAGGCTTCCAATGCATTAAGTTCAATAATATAAACTCCTCATGCAAATAACTTTAATTGAAAGTATAAAATCACAAAATCTATATTGAATTGATTAAGTTATATCATAACCTTAATAAAATAAATCAGTTCATAATAAAAAGAATAAAATCTACAATCATAGTCATGAACAAGGAAGAATAAAACCCAATTTGAGAAAATTGCAATCCTTTATCTTCTATTGTTGAATCATCTATCTTGACCTCCAAGAATGCCCTCCAAGAATGCCCAAAAGAGGGCTGCCACAAGCCTCCCAAAACTCCCCTCAATTCTGAATTTAGATGGGTATTTATAGGATTTTGGAAACTCTAATTGAAATAGAAGTAAGACTTGGAACAGATATAGGAAACTGAATTTTGGATGCTGATTGCGTGGTGGTGACACTTCGGATTACGTGTACAAAAAATAGGAAACAAAATCTGATTCTAGACGTTTAGCGCATGGTGTCGACACCCCGATCATGTGTCGACACTACACCCGTGTTGGGTTTTTGTCCTCCTTTTGCAATTTCTTCAATGGTAAGATAACAGATTTGGTTCCTGACTTCTGGATTCTACACAAGTTGATCCTCAAGTCTCTGATCTCTTCAATTTACTTCTAAAAAATATATTTTTTTTAATTAAATCCTTTCCTACACAAAGAATGAAAACCATGTAAAATCAAACAAAATCTCATAAAACTCATCCAAATATCAATAATATCAAAGTAAAAATTCCCTATTAATATGTATATAAATTTAGCTCATCAAATTCCCCCAAACTTAAGTTTTACTTGTCCTGGAGTAAAATAAAAAGATAAAAGAAACAAAAATAAAACTTAACTCACTTTCGTAGAAATCACGATTGCACTTAGCATGTGCAACAAGCCTTTAAATCCCTATGTCACCCTAGTGGACGAGTTGTGTCTCGTGAGGGTTTGCAGTGGATCTACCCACAAAATTCCAATGCAAGAATATAACTACATGATATGCATGCAAAGAAAATTTAGGAATTAAAGTTCAATTAGATACAAAATCTCAAATATTCAAGAGTTTTCATATACTCACTTAAAGTTAGATACCCATCATATGTTTCACACCACTTGTTAAAAGATTTAGCCCATGAGCACTTAGTGTGTGTGTGTGGAAATTCATAGTAAGAAGTTTCGAGTTTAGACTTTCACACCTTAGCACTTATTACTATATTTTTTTTTTCTCTCCTCAATTTTTTTTTCATAGGTCGAGTTTCCTTAGGCTTTCTAAGTTACCTATGTAATGAGCTTTTTGTCAATGACTCCCAAACCAGTTGGCTTTAGGGCATTAGGTGAAGAGACACCCCTGAGAACATACTTACTCAAGTAACAAAGGCCACAAAACATTCGACTTCTCTTCTTCTTCTTTTTTTTTTTCTTCAGCCATACAACACATTCTTCCCTAAGTTATCACTTGTTTTTTTACGCGAATACTAACATTTGTGATGAAAGGATCCGGTTACTCAACAAGTCATAAACTCAAAGTGCTTTACATACTCATATTTCAAGTCGCCGTTTGAAGTGAAAATTGACATGGGTCTCATGCCTAACCCCCAGTTACTAAGCAGCTAAAAATATTGGAGTAGGAATTAATAAACTCTTTTGTATTGACTTTTTTTTTTTCTTCTTTTCTTTTTATGTGCTATTTAGATGCTATTAAGTCTTCTCTCTAAACTTCTCACTACAAACTTGTGCTTAAATAGAATATAATACTCATGAACTTAAACTTCATCACAATGGTGTTATTTTTCAGATTTGTTTCTTCTCTAAGATTAAAAGATTTTAAAAGCTCTAACTCAAGAATATTCAATTCCTTGACACTAATTGAACCAACTTCTAAAAATAAAAATATCCTAATTTTTTTAAAAAAAATGTATGTTATACAAATATGAATGCAACTAATGGATGCCTAAAAGTGTATCTCTCCCCCAAACTTAAATCAAACATTGTTCTCAATGTAAAATAAAAGTAAGAGAAAAGAGAAACTTCCCAGGTTTTGCACTTGAAGACTTAAAATTGAAGTTTTGAAGTTGAGTTGCCTTCATTTAGAGGAGACTTATAGCATGTGAATTTCCATAATCTTGTCCCCCAAACTTGTTCAATGACCTGGCCAAAATCAAAGAACAACAATTTATGCATTAACCTAGGCCATAAAAAGAAAAAAATTAAAAGAAAATCTGAACTATAAAAGAAAAATAAAAGAAAAGAAAATTTTATGCTTGGGTTGCCTCCCAAGAAGCGCTTAATTTATAGTCATTAGTTAGACTTTCTACCACTCCAAGGTGGTTTTGGATCAGGTCGTAGGGCATGTCCTCTCGTTTTCTTAAATCTTGGCTTTTTTGCCCTTGAGTTGAATCCACCATAAGATTTTCTCTAATGACTGTTCTGAGGTTGTTTGGGTTTAGGCCAATAGATGTGCCTTCCCAATTCTTCTAGGAATGCCCCCTTTGATTCCAAGGAAGATGATGTGTTCAAGCAATTTATGTATTCTTTGATTGAGTTCTTTGCTTGAATAGGGTAAATCTCAAATGGATCCTCATAAGTGTTTTTCTGCAAAATCTCATCAACCATATCAATAACAAAATAATCATTAAAATCAGATTTGGTTAAAGGAGACTCCCCATTGAACACTTCAAATGACACCTGAGCTTTTTCCTCTTCCTCCATAGGGACATCCTCTTGTTTAGTTTCTGCAAGCATAATTTCTACTTCTCCAAGTTGTCCTTCAATCTCTAAGGGTAAGGTGTTTACCTCTTCTTCTTGATTTTTCATTGTTGCACTAGGTAACTCACCTTGTATCTCTTCAGCAACTAAGTTGAGCAAATTACTTGATTGGACCTCCAGATTTTTATTCAAACATGTCTCCTCTGGAGCTTGAAACCCTGATTGTGGCTCCAATATATCTTCATTATTCCATGAGGTGTTTGGATCAAAATGACATGTATTGGGATAAGAATTATACTGCTGACTATAAAACTCACAAGAAAAATCAACACACTTGTTATATCGTTTAAATAAGCAATCAGAACTAAAATGGTCTAATCCACACCATTCACAAGTGATATTTGATCGTTCTATTCGAGCTTTCCTTAATTCGATCCTTTCAATGGCTGCTTGAAGTCATTCAAGTTCATCATTGTCAAGTTCTGCATCCCAATTGATAGTTATTGCTTCAACTTGTGCTCTTATCTCTGGCGCAAGCCAATGATAACTCACATAAGTACCTATGGCAACTCGATTCATAATTAGACCTGCAAAAACGAAAACAAAGAAAACAGAAAAAAAAAAAATCAAAGTAAAGAAATAAAAGAAAAGAAAAAGTTCAAATTAAATCTAGAATTAACCAACTTCGATATTAATTAAATCAATAATTCCCGGCAACGACGCCAAAAACTTGATGCACTAAAATCATCCTAACAAGTGTACTAGTCGCTCCAAGTAATATAATGATGAATAGAGTGTCGAACTCACGAGGATTGTGTCTAATTAAATACCAAAATAATTAATCTAAATTTATTTGAACAATCAAATAGGAAGAAACTTTAATTGAAAATAATAAAAAGAAAATAAAAAATAAATCTAATCAAGATAGGAGGTACTAAGGCATTGATTTCACCATAATCAATCAATATAAATTCTGGATTAATATACTTTTAAAACCAATTTATTTAGTGTTATTGCATGTGATGGCGGATTTTCCTAAATTAATTAACTAGCTTTCTCAAGTCAAGTTAATCCTTCACTTGTTTGTTAAATTAATCATATCTCTATGTAATTTTAAACAAACTTATGAGTATTAAATTCTAGGTTAAAACTCCATTTTAGTCCCTGAACTATTGTACGGACCTCCGATTTGGTCCCTAAACTAAAATAATCCCTGATTTGGTCCCTACTGTTTACCATTTTAACCCCGATTTGGTCCTTCCGTTAAATATCTGCCTACGTGTTTTGTTACTTGACGGGGAAAAGGATGACATATCAAATATTAATACACGTGGAAGACAATAAGACCAAAAATAGTGATGACATGGAAAAAATAATAATATAAAAAAATATTATGAAAAATTAAACTTAAATTTTTTTTTTCTTTTTCCTTCTCTTTCCTTTTCTCTCTCCTTCCCCTTCCCCTTCCCCTTCCTCTTCTCTTTCCCCCTTCGAACCCAGGCGCGGCCTGGTTCAACTTCGGCGCCTGGGTTCGACTTCGACGGAACCCAGCACGCCTGGGATCCGTCGAACCCAGGCATGCTGGGTTCAATGCCCAGCATGCCTGAGTTCCACCAAACCCAGCATGCCTAGGTTCAATGAAACCCAGGCGCTGGGTTCCTTAAGACCCAGCCATGGGTTCCAAAAAAAAAAAGAATTTCTGTTTTCTTTGTTTGGGTTTTGTTGTTTGATGACATGAGAAATTGATTGATGAAGATGAAGAAGGCAAGGCAGCCGTTGGGTTTTTGTAGGTGGATGAAGATGAAGAAGGCATAGGTGCTGGGTTCGAACCCAGCAGGCACTGTGTTCAAGTTGGGTTCTTGCAGGTGCTGGGTTCGAAAGTGCTGGGTTTGATTTCGAACCCAGCAGGCACTGGGTTCTGTTTTGAACCCAGCAACCGTTGGATTCATGGATCTGTTGAGTTCCATTTGTTTATCAATCTGTTGTTTGTTGGGTTCTGTTTCAAACTCAGCAGTCGTTGGGTTCATGGATCTGTTGAGTTCGATCTATTTATGGATTTGTTATCTGTTGTGTTATCCTCGTATTCTTGCAGGTGCTAAATTCGATTTCAAACCTAACAAGCGTTGGGTTTTGTTTCCAACCCAACTGCAGTTGGATCGAAGTATCTATTGATTTCTATATGTTGGTTTGTTGTGATTCTCGGATTTAATATTAGGAAATGTTAGGGTTTGCAAAAATTGAAAGGAAAGGGAGAGGAAGAAGAAAGGGAAAAAAGAAAAACAAAGAAAGAAAAAAAAAATTTTTTTAAGGTAATTTCTTGCCATCTCATTTTTTTGCCACGCTGTACATCCTAGGTGTCAAAATGTTTTAACATGTCATCCTTTTTCCCGTCAAGTAACATGACACGTAGGCAGATATTTAACGGAAGGACCAAATCGGGGTTAAAATGGTAAACAGTAGGGACCAAATCAGGGATTTTTTTAGTTTAGGGACCAAATCGGGGGTCCGTACAATAGTTCAGGGATCAAAATGAGGTTTTAACCTAAATTCTATGAAAACCTCTAGCTTAAGAAAGGGGAGCTCCTAACTCTCTTCTCTTCTTCCACTACCACATGTGAGCTAATTACCTCTCGGTCTCATAGTTTAGCACACGGTTTATATTATTATTGGTCTAATCTATGCAATTCTTTCTCAAGTTCATGCATAAATCACTAAATCAATCGAAAGTTGATCGGGCTTCCAATGCATTAAGTTCAATAATATAAACTCCTCATGCAAATAACTTTAATTAAAAGTATAAAATCACAAAATCTATATTGAATTGATTAAGTTACATCATAACCTTAATAAAATAAATCAGTTCATAATAAAAAGAATAAAATCTACAATCATAGTTATGAATAAGGAAGAATAAAACCCAATTTGAGAAAATTGCAATCCTTTATCTCCTATTGTTGAATCATCTATCTTGACCTCCAAGAATGCCCTCCAAGAATGCTCAAAAGAGGGCTGCCACAAGCCTCCCAAAACTCCCCTCAATTCTGAATTTGGATGGGTATTTATAGGATTTTGGAAACCCTAATTGAAATAGAAGTAGGACTTGGAACAGAAATAGGAAACTGAATTTTGGATGCTGATGGCGTGGTGCTGACACTTCGGATTATGTGTTGACACAAAAAATAGGAAACAAAATCCGATTCTGGACGTTTAGCGCATGGTGTCGACACCCCGATCATGTGTCGACACTACACCCGTGTTGGGTTTTTGTCCTCCTTTTGCAATTTCTTCAATGGTAAAATAGCAGATTTGGTTCCTGACTTCTGGATTCTGCACAAGTTGATCATTAAGTCTCTGATCTCTTCAATTTACTTCTAAAAAATAAGATTTATTTTAATTAAATCGTTTCCTACACAAAGAATGAAAACCATGTAAAATCAAATAAAATCTCATAAAACTCATCCAAATATCAATAATATCAAAGTA